TATATATATATATATATATATAGAATGTACGCACACACGGAACCCTGAATCTTGAACTGTGCTACTCAATTGGCTTCGGCGGAGTCTTGTGGTTATGGGTAGCCTCTTACCTGTTGAGATGTCACGCATGTGCGGCGTGGGCGAGGTAGATTTTCTTCATTTCTTTAGGCCTTTTAGGCTTAGAATTTTTGCGTTTCTCTCAGGGGGCGGCTTATTCATCCACAGTGCTATGCCGGATAGGCTGAGTGAGTCTTCTTGGGAACCTATAGCCAAACTAACCTCGATCACTACGTTTCTGAGACGCCCACTTGCCCCTGCAGCGTCGTTTTTTAACGCGAAAACCTCTTAGATGTGGCAAACCCTAGAGGGTTACCTGTTTATCCATCTTTTCAGGGTCGCCTCTCTTCAAAATGCACCGGGAGCTGGCCCGTATGGGAAGCACCAGCAGCGAGGACTCTGTCTCCGAGTCGGAGACTGACGACAGCAGTAGCAACAACAGCGGCAAGAGCAGTAGCAGTAGCAGTAATACTACAGTGGAGACTACCCACACTACTGGCTAGTATGCCCGTACGCTCGGGTCCTCCCACGGCGAACTCTTTAGACTAGGTGGAGGGTTTCAATCACACTACCTTGTGTAGTGAACGTTTCAGTATTCATTAAAAACGCGGCAACCTAGTAGGGACGGTTAGATGTCCCGGCCGATAGGCCTTTCGCTACTCTACCTTCTGAGCCACAGTGGACGTTCAGGCCGAAAGATTGGAGGAGTGGGTTGGAGTAGTGTATCAGCAGTCTGCTAATATCTATGGAGTTGTTCTGAGCTACCTGCTGAAGCCAGATTCCCACCGATGTTCCCCATAGAAGGTGAACATTCCGGCCTAGAACGCTCCCCTATTTTCGAGATAGAAATGTGGACGCAGGGGACCGTATTATGGGAGTAGAATGTCGGGTGCGCTGGTCTATTCCATATGACTCATAAGGCGATGTCAACTAATTTTTCGCATACCGTGATAGAAAAGAATCCATTATGAAGGACCACAGTTGTTGCCTCCACCGTCTTCGTTTGGGGGCCAAGAGGGATCCTCAACACTGCAATTACGGAGTACGTATGTGAGGTCGCCCAGGGCTTCTGTCTAGTGTGCATAGTTGTTCAGCATTCATTATCTATACTACCCTGGTTATTTCGAATTAGAAGTATATTGGTTCTCCACTGTTCACGAACATTTACATCAGCAGCAGCACAGGCACTGGCTGCAGCGGGAGACAGCAGCCGCGGCAGCACACACCCGCCCCCCAAACATGAAGGCGCACCGCTGCTTCGTGACCCCTCTGCCGGTTGGTAATTCAGTCTATTTATATTTTGCGTTTTTAGTGTTTTGTAGATGAGCTCGATGGGGTATACGTACTCCCGAAACTCACTCGTTACTGCGATCCTTGAACACGAGCACTGCTGTTGTTGTCTCGGGTTGCTGTATCTGTTTCTCTTCCCCTTTGTCTCCTAGTTGTCTCATGAAGACATAGTAAACGGAAGGTGTTTCTGGCATTTGTGTGCTTACTAGTTAAGCTGTTTGCCTTTAGGCCCCAAGTTTGTGTTGCTCCGGGCATCCTCGGCCTGCGACTAGGGGCAGAGGCGAGGTTTCGAGCTACTCCCCTGCCGTTCTCGGAAGGTTCCAAGGCCTTATTTTGGCTCTAAACGCCTTTTCCACTTAATATTTACTACTTAACTCTACGTTCTGAGTCCGATGCGCCAACGCGCATTGTGCCTTTATCGCCTACCGGCTGCGCGCCCCGCCCGTAGCCTCGTGCATGGCCGCTAGTTTTTGCTGCCTTCCTTCCCCTCTTGTGATCAAATTGCGCGTTTACGATTATTCTTGGCTGCGTTTCCTTTAATTCTGGCGGGCCAAAAGGACAAGACAACTGGAGCAATAGCAGCAGCTGCAGTAACCCGCGCTCGTTTAACTTCCGTGCTCGGTGGGTCGACCACGGAAGACAGCCAAGGTGAACGGGCGCCTCAGGACGGGATCAGCTCTCCTGCATCCAACAGGCTTCATGTCCACAGTGGGAGTATGGTGACGCACATAAAGACTTCTTTATGGGCCTAATAGGATTTATATGTTTATGTGTGTCTGCTTCTGCGCGTGGCCATCATGCGAGGCAACTAGATGCGCGCATAGCAACAGTTACATAAACGTATCTGCTCTGGATATCCCATACTTTAGTTGTTTCTATCACATACTCTATAGAAATACACCAAACGTTGGAGACTAATATCAAAGGGAGATATTTGCATATCTTTCTATGAGGAAGTGTACTGGCAGTGCGACTAAATGCAAGATAATGGCCATGCAACAAACAGCAGCAACAACCACAACCACAGCTGAAAGCATCTCCACCCTTGGCAGTAAGCCGTGGGACTTTCTCTATCCCCCGCACGTCTTGGGTGAGGCCCTGAAGCAGATTAAGGGGTGTCTGGAAGACAGCAAAGCAGGGGCAGCAACAGGAACAATCCAGGAGAAGAAACATCAGCAGATGCTGTCCCCGCAGGAGCAACAGCAAAGCCAACTACTGCTGCAAGCATCACCTCCACCTCAACCGACGCCATGCAGGCGAAATGATGAAGGGGAACACAGCAGTGAAGGGGAGCGGCCACTTTCAGAGCTCACTGCGCAACAGCAGCAGACACAGCCGCAGCAGCAGCAGCTTATGCAGCTACACCAGGTGCAACGTTTCCAGATGCAACAGCTGCAGCAACTTACACCACCTGTTCCAGAGTTCCAGAGAGCCCCAGCTCACCGAGTGGGTCTTGTAAGTCAACTTCACCTACTGTTGCTTATTTAGCTTCTTGTTGCTGCAGCTCCGCAACAAGAACATTCCCGCAAAACGTAAGCCTCATGAGTTGAAAGCAAGATGTCTGGATTCCCTACTGTGATTTTGTGTGTGCAGCCAAAAGTTAGTGTCCCTGGCTGGGGGTCCCCTATGACCTCTGCAGCTCCGCCTGGTGCAACTCCTGCCGCGTCAGCGACAGCAGCAGCAGCAACAGTAGACAGTCCGTGCGCTTTGGCCTTTCTGTCTGGCTTACCGCGAGCCTATTCACCTGCCTCTCAGGGGTCGACTGCGCCACCGCAGACCCCGCAGGGTGAACTGGGGTTTGATGCTGTTGTTGCCAGCTCAACCACAGCTCCGGCACCAAAGGATGGTTCAGGGAAACAATCGTATTCAAATCCCAATCAGCAGCAGACGCTGCCGTTTGTACAGCCACAGCATAACGAAGCATTCCTCTCCTGTTTCGACTTCAGGGGATGGGGGCAAAACCAAGGAACTCCAGCAACCGCTCCGGCAGCAGCAGTTGCTGCTGCAGCAACCACACCAGAGCACCAAATCCAGGAGGTGCCAAATGCAGAGCGGCAGACCCCTTGCAACGCCAGCGGCAGTTGCAACGAAAGTTCCTGTGGTGCAGCATGCGCACCTGAAGAGACTTCTGCACCACCCAATTGTTCTTCAGCTGCAGTCATAGTGGGAAGTGCAGATCCAGCAGCACCAACACAAGAGTGGCAATCATCCTGGGCAGACGATTCCCTAAGCCATTCGATGTGTCTTAGCAACAGCTTGTCCAGCAGTCTGATCGAGCCAGCTTGCCTGGGCGATTCCTTTTCAACCTTTGCTTCTGCTGCTGCTACCGGTAGAAGCAGCCAGGGATCGGTGGGAAAGAGCCGTGACGGGACCTGCAGCCCCTCACAAATGCTGCAAGTAGCGGCATCGACAACTGGACTAGGTCCGCTCTGTGTAAAAGGTGCTGAAGCGCCTGCTTCTGAAGGAGATGACAGGCATATTGATTTGCCGGAAGCTACAGTGGCAAACAAAGCTGCTACACCGATAACATCTGTCCCAAGGCTCTGTCTCTGGCCACCTGCCGAGGAGCAACATGAGCAGCGCCTCCAGCAGCATTTCAGGGGGCAGCAGCAACTGGATTGTCTCACTGAGAGACAGCTCACCGCAGCCACATTACCGCAGGAGCGGCAGGAACTGCAGCAGCGGCAGCAACAGGATAGAATTTCATTTTACATGGAGCTTGCATCCAGACAAAAACACTTAAAGCAGCATTTGATCCCTGCAAGCCAGCTGCAGTCGCATCTATTGGACCCTTCCGGTGAGCGAGACCAAGAACTGCAGCAGCAGCAACTGGATAATCTGCTGATGTTTGGGCAACATGTGCAACGCGAACATAGCACTGGCTGCCTCCAGCAAGCAGCCGTTGCCGTTAACCAGCAACCGCCTCATCATCAGGGGTGTCTATGCAAGCGAGAGGAGACTAGTAAACACGTCTCAGCTGCGACGGCGGCGAAGAGGGTCTCAGCACTGCTGCCCCGTGTTCCGCCGTGCTTACCTATGTTGACACCAGGCTTGGACCGTTCTTGTGACCGCTCTCACCCTACGTCTTTGCTGATTACGTTACCTCTGAATCTTCCCTTTGGCCGCATTCTGAAGTTTGGCTCTGGAGAGCCTGGCGGCGCTGCCAACTCCGCTGCCTTTGCAAACAACAGCAGTAGCCAAAGTCTAGGAGTCAAAAAGAGCTACTACATCTTCTCGCCTACGCTGCATCCGGCGGCCCATACGCTATTCTCCCACGCTGGAGGGATATGCGACACCTTCGCGGCTTCCCTGCAGATGGAATTGGCAATCATTTACGTGCCGTGTCTTCTTGTCCCGCTGGTTGCTGCGGCGTTCAATACACTCGGCCAGCAGCTTCTGCCACAATTGCATGAGCCCCTCAAACTCCGCTGCTGGGGGCTGCAAGAACGAAACGCACCCGGCAGGTTTGGCGGAAAGGTTCTCACCGTCAGTTGCTCAGTGGAAGGTGTAAGCGCAAAATAGTCACTTTCACGTCTTGAATTTTGTTGTGCACAGTAGCAAGAGATTAAGGAATCTACGTCATTTTCTTCTGCCGAGCTCTAGTGACAGGAGGAGTACGCAACCCCACTTTCACGTCTTGATTTTTGTGGTGCACAGTTCTCGGTATCGTGGATCAATCACTCCTAGCAGCAAGCGAATGGGGATTCTGCGTCGTTTTTTCTACCGAGCCTCAGTGACGGGAGGAGTACACGGCCCCACCTGTTCCTAACGCGCGTTGGGCTGGGCTACCGTTTGAACGAGTGCACACCTGGCTCTCTACCATTAGTTGTTTGTGGGCATCTTTTGTGGTACAGAGCATCAAGCTTGCACTAGTAGCATATTCGCTAGCTTGCGAACCCTATCTACTAGTCGTATGCCTCTGTTTCCTTTTAGGCGTTCTGTATGTTTGCGTTGCTGTCTACCGGCGTATATGTGTCCTGCGTCTTCCTGGCGGCGTCGATTCGTTTAGCTATGCTATTTGGCTTAAATCCTTGCTTACAATTTACCCAGTGGAGCGGCTCCATGTGCTGAAGATCGAAAGTTTGGTTTAACCGAGATGTAGCTATTCTCGTTTCATGCAATCCGGATTGACATCGCACCCAATTCTCGTCAATTCCCGTGTCACTTTTACCCTCGCAATAGTTGTTTTCTGCAGTTCTGTGACTACTGGTCCACATTCCGCTTCGCGAGACTCCTGTCTTGTGTTTTGCCATATTGTTTGAAGGACGAAGAGCGCTCAAAGTTTGAGAAACTTCAGACTTTTTTGCGCCATCTGGAAAACTACGTGGAGGGGCTTTTGAGGAGTTACGGGCAGCAACAACAGCAGCAAGTAGACGGCAAACGATTGAGGGTGGGAGAGGGCACGGCATCTGCAAGTGTAACCGCAACAGCCACGCACCAGGGTAGACCATCGTGCTGCCGAAGACACAAAGGCACTGGACAACAAACGGCTATCGGTTAGTATTACTTCAGCCATGGCACCCTGTTCCCAACAGACAAGGGGGGGGCAATGCATCTGCCACAGTGAGCCAAGTAACCGTGGCCAACCATGTGTTAATCTTTCCAAATTGTTGTGCCCGTTTTTTATTATTGCAACTTCCTTCTTGCAGGGAAGAAGAACAACATTTGGCGTTATTCAATAGTGAGTACCTCACGCAGCTCCGAGCAGACAGAGGTAAGCAACAATGGTGGCGGAAGCAGCAGCGGATGTCTGGATCTGACAATTCGAGCGTTTGAGACAAGGCCTCTGGAAAGACCAGTAAGGGACTTCTCCGGATATGCCGTTAAAGGAATTTGCACGAGTGAGATCAGGCTTGTTACGACCAAGGCAATCCAAGGCATGACGTGCGAGGTAACCTAAGCCAAATTCTAAGAACCGACTGACCTGTACATGTAGGGGCACAAGAACGGTATTTATGGTCTTCTGTGCATACGAACTGTGCGTATGCAATGGTTATGCAGAGGCCAGTTAGTGGCAATGTGCATGCGGGTAGTAAAAAGGAGGCTTGTTCCCCGTATAGACTTGCTGATCTCCCGTTCGTCAGGCATTCATAGTTTGAATGATAGTTTTGGATGTGGAGCTTGTGTATGTCACAGATAGACCCTCGCTTCCGTCATTACAGCATTGGGACTCGTCCTATTCTGAAAGCGCCTTCCGGTGCTCTTTGCCGCCATTGTATTGCTCCGCAGCTCCTGCCGGAAGTGTGGGAGGCACACTTACGCAGCGGGATTCCTGCAGCCAGGGACCAGCAAAAGAAGCTCACGGAGACATGCGTCATTGCTCACATCGAAAACAGATCCCTTGCAAAGAAGGCCGCCTTGCTCGAGTCTCTTGGCCGCCTGGGAGTCCCCCTGTGGGTTAATGGGAAGCCACTCACACATCCAGCTGTCATCCACCCAGCCGTCATTGCTGCTGATGGGGAAGCAGCGGGTGCTCCTGCACTACGGGACATGGAAGGTGCTGAAGGCAAACAGGAAGAGCTATTGAAAACTCACGTTAAACACCAGCAAGATCAAGTGTTGCAACAGCTCAATCTGTTAAGTGTAAACACTGGTGAAGAGCTGCAGGGGCAGGAACAACAGCAATTCAAGCTTTGTGGAACTGTGACCGAGCACCAGCAGAAGCACCAGCAGAAGCACCAGCAACAACAGACCCCCAAAGCCGCTCGCGGGAGCCGGCAACAACAACGAAGAAGTCAGGTGGCTCGTTTGACACAGCAGCAACAGGCGCAGCAGCACCAGGCCCTGTGCGGTCAGCTGGCTTCAACATCTGTTTGCGATGTAGAAACCGACGAGCGTTTGATGGCAACCGGTGCAGTATCAACAAATGCCTCATCAACATCTCACACAGAGGGAACATCCGCAGGCACTGCTCTTCCAACTGAAGGGCGGCGGGCTTCTACTCAACAAAGGCACCACCCAAAGCAAAGGTTGCAGATGCAGCAGCAGGAACAGTTGCGCCTTGTATCCAACCCCCCACCAGCGGAGGAGAAAATTTTCCACCTACAACAACAGCAACAGCAGCAAGAGACAAGCGGCCCTGGGAGTGACTTCCTTCGCCTGGCTGAAGGGGTATGGATGGACATGCGCCCGATGCAGCAGCAAGCGCAGCCACATCAGCATCAGCTGCAGCATCTACATCAACTACAACAGCTGGAACAACTGCACGACGTGCAACAGATGCACCAGCATGAGTTGCAACAGCATAAACAACGCCCAGGGTGTCTCGAGCTAGCTCCTCCTGCTTCAGGGGGAGGGCCTTGTGGCAAGTTTCCAGCTGCTAGCAGCTGGCAGCCAACTCAGCAGCAGCAGCTAAACATCTTTACTGAAAGTACGTCACCTGTTGGCCTTGTATCTGGTGAACTGCAGCAGCAACAACAGCACAACCAGGAACTGCAGCCACAGCAACAGCAAACGAGGCAGCAATCGCAGGATCCTGTGTATGGCGACGCCGAATGCCCCTTAGCTACAGTTACCCCTTTGTCCGAGATTAATGGGAGGCTTTCGCTACAAGAGCAGCATCTGCAGCAGCTTTGGACGCCTAGCAGCTTTACCGAAGCACCCGTGCACCATCAGGTAGTCTGCTGCATACGAACTTGTCTTCTAGGTTCATTGCTGTTTAAATCATGGATACATCAGCACCCCTTTCTGGCGTGCATGCTACTCTGGTCATCATTTGATGATAAACCCACCTTAGGAGCAAATCCATTCAAGCACTGCATTTTTGCTTTCCTTTGCAGGGAGATGAAAACTCGTTCTGGGGGCCTGGAGTTGTCTCGAATGCCTCCCAGCAGCAGCGGCAGTCGCATCAACAAAGTGCTATCCAGCTGCACCAGCATCTTCAACGTCAGCAGCTCCAGGTTCAACAAGACAGATATCAGCAGAGTTCACAGAAGACTGTGGGACAACAACCAGGGGCCAGATTACGGGTAGCAGGTGCAGCCTGTGTGGGCGTAGGCCTTCAACAGTCGCGCGGTTGGGAACAGCAGCAACAGCGCACGCTCGTGATGCCTGGCTCTGAGCAGCAAATGCAGCAGCAGGTCATATTGCAGCGGCAGCAGCAACACCAACAACAGCAGAACCAGCCTCCGCTTGTCTTCCCACCTGTGTCACATGGGGACCTAGTCGCAGAAGAGCAACAGCAGCAACAACAGCAGGGCGTATTGCAAGTGCAGAGAATGCAATGGCTCGCCATTCCGAATTAAGGGCTCCCCCCCGATTGCAGCGACAGCAGTAGTTGCAGGAGAATCACTTGAGCGGAGGCACTACAGGCAAGAGAAAAGCCAGTTATTTCCATTTCCATACCTGCTCTGTACCGGCAGCCGACGCATCAGTCACAGCGGTACAGCTGTAGGGTCTCAAAAGGAGGCCCATTGGGATGCTTGGGATGATGCACCTTAAGTATGGGGTTGAGTGGGAGGTGTCAGAGAGGCACAGCGGCGCTCGAGCTGTGAGGGAGCCCTCACGAATTCGCCGCCATGTGTCCGGTGTATTTACCAGGGATTTTGAGGGGGAAAACAATCTGAAGACGCAGCATCAACTGGTGCAATACCATCAGGACTACCTGACAGGTAATGCATCGGGACTGGGATTGACCATTCCCAACCAAATTTCTGCCGCCTACCTGCCTTCTTGCAAGGCTGCCTGCACAGTCTTTGGCTAGCTTTTTGGCTAGCTGGGATCGCAAGATCTCATATTAGCCATTTGGAACTTTCATGGTTCCCTTCGCAAACAACCAGGAGATGCATGCCACTCAGCGGGCGTGAGACGTCGCCTGTTTGCGCCCCTCGGTGCCACATGAAGGCTGCATGCTCCACAGAATCAGTATAGTCCAGTTGATGCAACAGCAGTTCTTCAGTAGCAGCAGGGCTGCTATATTTAAAGGAGACAACAGCAGCATCTCGCTTCAGCAGCAGCCCACCTGCTTCACCAGCCGGTTGCTTCAGGAGGACCATGGGGAAAAGGCCAGTTTTTTGCTAGTTTTTGACGGGCGTTCGCCACTCCAAGGAGTTCGTTCTTGAGAACAAAGGCGGCTTTCTACAACGTCTGCTGCTCTAGAGCCAAGCTGAGGAGGTTGAGACAGCAATTATCAGAAATCAACATTCTATTGCATGCTGTAGCCCCTTTTTTGCCAGGGGCAGCTCAGTGGCGACACCATCACTTACACCAGCATCAGATTGGCTATTTCAAGGGACACTGCGATGTGTTGAGGAGCTCTCCACAGCTAACGGCAAGCGGTCGCCACCTATGCTGCACCAGAAGTGGAGGCAGTGCAACTACAGCCTCGATCGACATTATTTTTGACCTCAATGCAGCACACCTGAGGGATGAGAACCGTACACACATGCAGCAGAGATTCTCAAATTGCACCCGGAATGTTGTGTAAGGATTGGTGAGGACACGATGAGGTACTCAGATGACCGATGCTTGTGGTTGAGTGGGAGATGCCAGAAGAGGTACAGAACAGAGAGGTACGGCTGCGGTCGAGCTGTGAGGGAGCCCTCACGAATTCGCCGCCATGTGTCCGGTGTATTTACCAGGGATTTTGAGGGGGAAAACAATCTGAAGACGCAGCATCAACTGGTGCAATACCATCAGGACTACCTGACAGGTAATGCATCGGGACTGGGATTGACCATTCCCAACCAAATTTCTGCCGCCTACCTGCCTTCTTGCAAGGCTGCCTGCACAGTCTTTGGCTAGCTTTTTGGCTAGCTGGGATCGCAAGATCTCATATTAGCCATTTGGAACTTTCATGGTTCCCTTCGCAAACAACCAGGAGATGCATGCCACTCAGCGGGCGTGAGACGTCGCCTGTTTGCGCCCCTCGGTGCCACATGAAGGCTGCATGCTCCACAGAATCAGTATAGTCCAGTTGATGCAACAGCAGTTCTTCAGTAGCAGCAGGGCTGCTATATTTAAAGGAGACAACAGCAGCATCTCGCTTCAGCAGCAGCCC